GGATCGAACTCAAAACCCTTGGGTTGAAAGGCAGGTGCGCTAACCATTCGGCCACGCATTCCGATAACACACATAAGTTAATTGTTTCAGAGTATAAAAGAAATGCAAGCGTATTTTTAGAATCGGTAGGGGAAGAAAGAAGTTCCGTAAAAGGAAATAGTTCCTGAATTTGCAAGCAGTATATTAAATAATAAGGGACGGACTGCGTAAGAAAACATTAACACTGTTCCCTAATGAAAATGTATTAATGGACTGTAGCCCGATTCATCGATATTGTGAGCATGCTGATTTTTTTTGTAAATAGCTTTGTTGTAAGCTTAAAAGATCGGGTTCGGATTTTAACATTTCTGACTGAATATCCTGAAATAACTATGAAACATTTAAATAAGCATTTCTTTGGGTTAAATTAAATATGTGTATCACAAATTAAACTCCCAACATGCATTTTTAGAAGGGAAACACGACAATGAAAGCGAGAATTGTTTTTAATCTACCGAAAATCGCTATTTCTGGAAACTGATTAATTCTAAATAAAAATCAAATAAATTCCAAATGTAAAAGAAAGAGAGAATGCTTGGTATTAAAATGTCGTATCATATCAGGAGAATCGAATGCTGCTAACGACATCTGAAGAAATAGCCGATAAAAGGTTTAGATCATTTCTTCGTTCACCTGCACTTTAATTACAAACACAACAGAACTTGTAGTTTTTGCCGTGAAACTTCAAGACTTCTATAAACTTATAGGACTCACCGTAAAACTCTCCAGAAACTTTCTCTGAGGTCTATACTACAATTGTACCAAATATGGTGTCGATCCGAGGTCTGGTTTGAATTTGACAGAAATATTCTACGTTGTTGTTGATGTGATTTTTTTTTTTTTTTTTTTTAAGAAGGGGGGGGGGTAGGTTAATTATTTATTTTATGCCTCTTTTAAACTAAGAATTGTAACTACTTCCAATTCCTTAAGCCTGATTGTGACCTTGGGTCAAGGTCAAAGGTCAAGGTCATTCAAAAAAAAAAAAAACAACAACAACAACAAAACCCCCCAAGAAATCTTTACTTTCTGTCTTTTTACCAGATACTGGAGCTGGATGCATGTCCTAGCTTTTCTATTTGACCCAAGGTCAAAGGTCAAGGTCAAAGTTCAAGGTCATTTGGTGAATTGCTATATTTTACACATATATAAAGGATTTATGTTTTTAAATGACCTTGACCTTTGACCTTGACCTATATTTCAAGGTCAAAGGTCGAACATGCCCATGCAGTTGATCCCATGTCTCTAGGATACACCGTTTTAAAAAAAAAGTTCATTAAATGTAAGCAGCGTAAACTTTCAGGGGCAGTAACTCATACAAGGGACCAAAGAATGCTTTCGCAATGATAGAATGAAGAGAGTACTAAATGAGTCGAAGACACTGATGAAGGTTTGGAATCTCTACGGTTTACGGTTTCGGAGGAGTAGCGATAACAAGGTTTTTTTGCACAAGGGGTGACAACTTTTGAATGGGTCAAGCTCGGGGGACAAGAATGAAATCTTTGAAATAGTTTTAGAAGGACATATTACAGATGCAAAGATATTCAGTATATGTTGAAAGACAAAAGAGATATTAAAAAAGCTAATTTTCTCATATTTTGAATGACCTTGACCTTTGACCTTCACAAAAATTTCAAGGTCAGAGGTCACAAAATCTATTGCAGTTGGTCCCATGTCTTTACGACTTATCGTTTAGAGAATTTTGTCATTATTCGTAAACTTCAAAAACTCTCAGGGGCAGTAATTCATTAAAGGGCTCGACAAATCGTTTCGCATTGAAAAGTCCTCTCAAGTAGTCGAAAACATTGGTGAAGGTTCTGTATCTCTACGGTTTATGGTTTCGAAGGAGTAGCGATAACAGGCTATTCTTGCGAAAGGGGCAATAACTTCGTAAGAGGTCATGGGTCAAACACGGGGGGTCGTTTTTCGAAATAACTTTTAATATCCAGTATCATGAACTGTAAAGTTTTTCGATAAGTCTTGCGGTTTCAAAAGTCCTGGTGAGAAATAAAATAATAATAAACATAAGCATTTCAAGAGGTCTTTCCACAGAAAGGTGGAAAGACCTAATAATAATAATAATAAACAGAACAATTTCAATAGGTCTTTCCACAGAAAGGTGGAAAGACCTAACTAGTAGACTAATTGTTCTCGAACAATTAGAGGTCTTTCCACCTTCTTTAAATTTCATATATTCTTCACATTTAACTCTCTACTGCTTATTTTTATACAAAAGAAACCAGAAATGGTTTGAGAGAGGGAAAAAATGAAAATTTTAAAATTTTTGAAATGACCTTGACCTTTGACCTTGAACAAATATTCAAGGTCAAAGGTCAAGGGTCACATTGCACTTAACCCCATGCTTCTACGACTTTAACTTTTAAAGTTATAAGGTTTACTAGTAAGCGCAAAGACGTTAAAGGGCGATAACTCATATAAGGGGTCACCGGATACTTTCGCACTGAATAGATTAAAGTTGTGCCTAAAGACCCTGAATACATTAGTGAAGGTTTTGAGTCTCTGCGGTTTACGGTTTCGGAGGAGTGGCGATAACAAGGTTTTTCGCACAAGGGGCAATAACTTTTAAAAGGTTTATGCTTAGGGGACAAGATTGAAATCTTTGAAATAGTTTTAAAAGTACATATAAAAGATGCAAAGATAAACTGTATATGTTGAAAGACAAAAAAGCTCTAAAAAGAGCTTTATTTCTCATATTTGGAGTGACCTTGACCTTTGACCTTGACATAATCTTCAAGGTCTAGGGTTAAAGAATCTAATGCAGTTGGTTTCATGTCTCTACAACTTATCATTTTGAAAATTTTTCATTATTTGTAAACTGCAAAAACTTTCAGGGGCAATAACTCATAAAAGGGCTCAACAAATCCTTTTGTAATGAATAGATTGAAAAGTCTTCTCAATTAGTCGAAGACATTGGTGAAGGTTTCGTAACTCTACGGTTTACGGTTTCGGAGGAGTAGCGATAACAAGGTTTTTCGCACAAGGGGCAATAACTTTTAAAAGGTTTATGCTTAGGGGACAAGATTGAAATCTTTGAAATAGTTTTAAAAGTACATATAAAAGATGCAAAGATAAACTGTATATGTTGAAAGACAAAAAAGCTCTAAAAAGAGCTTTATTTCTCATATTTGGAGTGACCTTGACCTTTGACCTTGACATAATCTTCAAGGTCTAGGGTTAAAGAATCTAATGCAGTTGGTTTCATGTCTCTACGACTTATCGTTTTGAAAATTTTTCATTATTTGTAAACTTCAAAAACTTTCAGGGGCAATAACTCATAAAAGGGCTCAACAAATCCTTTCATAATGAATAGATTGAAAAGTCTTCTCAATTAGTCGAAGACATTGGTGAAGGTTTCGTAACTCTACGGTTTACGGTTTTGGAGGAGTAGCGATAACAAGGTTTCTAGTGAAAGGGGCAATAACTGCGAAAGGGGTCATAGGTTATACGCGTTGGGTCAAATTTGTTCATAACTTTTTATGACCTTTACGATGAACAAAAAGTCTTTTCGATAAATGTCGAAACAAAAAATCAGCGGAAGAAAAATAATAAGAAGAAGAATAAGAAGAAGAATAATAATAACTAGTAGACTAATTGTTCTCGAACAATTGGAGGTCTTTCCACCTTCTTTAAATTTCTTTAATCTTTATATTTTACTCTCTAAAGTTAATCTTTATACAAAAAGAATCCATAAATGGCTTGAAAGATAGAAAAAATGAAAATTTTAAAAATTTTGAAATGACCTTGACTTTTGACCTTGAATAAATATTCAGGTCAAAGGTCAAGGGTCACATTGCACTTGACCCCATGCTTTTACGACTCTTAGTTTTAAAGTTATAAGGTTTAATAGTAAGCGCAAAGACGTTAAAGGGCGATAACCCAAATAAGGGGTTATCGGATACTTTTGCACTGAATAGATTGAAGTTGTGTCTAAAGACCCTGAAGACATTAGTGAAGGATTGATGTCTCTACGGTCTACGGTTTCAGAGGAGTAGTGATAACAAGGTTTTTTGCACAAGGGGCAATAACTTTCAAAAGGGTTAAACTTAGGGAACAAGAATGAAATATTGTAAATAGTTTTAAGAGTACATATCAGTAATGTAACAATAGATAATAAATCTTTAAGGACAAAAGAGCTATAGAAGGAAATATATTTTTCATATATGGAATGACCTTGACCTTTGACCTTCATATAAATTTCAAGGTCAAAAGTCAAAGAATCAAATGCAGTTGGTTCCTTGTCTCTACGACTTATCGTTTTGAAATTTTTTGATTATTTGTAAACTTCAAAAACTTGCAGGGGCAGTAACTCATTGAAGGGGTCAACGAATAGTTTCGCAATGAAAAGATTGAAGAGTCCCCTCAATTAGTCGAAGACATTGGTGAAGGTTCCGTACCTCTATGGTTTAAGGTTTCAAATGAGTAGCGATAACAAGCTTTACGGTGAAAGGGGCAATAACCGCATAAGAGGTCAAAGTTCAAACATGGGGGGTCGTTTTTCGGAATAACTTTTTATATCCAGTATCACGAACTATAAATTTTTTTGATAAGTTTTGCGGTTTCAAAAGTCCTGGTGAGAAATAAAATAATAATAAACATAAGCATTTCAAGAGGTTTTTCCACAGAAAGGTGGAAAGACCTAATAATAAACAGAAGAAAATCAATAGGTCTTTCCACAGAAAGGTGGAAAGACCTAATAAACAGAACAATTTCAATAGGTCTTTCCACAGAAAGGTGGAAAGACCTAATAATAAACAGAACAATTTCAATAGGTCTTTCCACAGAAAGGTGGAAAGACCTGAATATATGACTGGACCAGAAATTGAATCTGGGACCCCTGTATCACTGGTCAGGTGCCCTACCACTTAGCTACCCTGGCCAATATCCATGGTCTATATATAGTATAAACTTCTACAAATTCATTTGCTTTTATATATTCTGTCTAGTTGTCACAGAAGAGGATAAAAAGGAAGCAGAAGAAAACGGAGAAATATTAACCCCTCCTGAAGATTTTGAAGAAGTGTTGAATGAAGATGATCAGAATCTACCAGAAAACGGCGAGCAAGAAACAGTTGAAAGTGAAAAAAATGATGAATCTCCCAAGGAAGATAACTCTCCACAAGTAGACAAACAGACAGATGCCAACTCAAAAGTCAAAACACCAGAACACAAACCGAAGACTTCCCCTGTAAAACCCAAACAGTCCATGTTGGATCCTGTCACTTTAACCTGGGAAGAAACAAAGTCAGTATCATTTTGAAAATATAGTAATTTACAGAAGATTTACAGAAATACTGGTTCCAGTTTAATTTCTTTTTTGCACCTGTTTTGTATTCAAGAACTATATTTAAAGGTTCAGTTTTTTTCTCTCAGAGTTTACATTTTAACTTATCATAATTTATGTGCTTGTGGGATCCTAGTGTTTCGGGATAAATCATTTTATTGATCTATTGTGCAAAAGCAACCAAATATTTGTTCCATTCCTAAGCGATTTACATGTATTTGAATAAAAATGTAATTTTTTTTTGATGGAAGTAACTGACACAGATATTACATGTCAAAATACTCATTAGTAGATTGGTGACTTTTCAATGATTATCAAATATTCTACTACAATTATTGAAAAGATCAAAGAGATGCTGAGGCCATTATTCTCCATTAAATCACAAATGTCATCAACAAATTATCAATAATTTAAAATCGGTTTTCTCTAATTTAGACTGCCTTCACAAGGAAAAGGATAGAGGTATATTTTGATTGTGACGCAAATTGGTGGGGGAAAAGTTACCCTGGGTTCGGGTTACATCGTACTTTTTCTAATCCTTGAAATACAAATGAACAAGGATAGCATTCAATTGTGACGTCATAAGACACTTATGAGGACGTAAAAATATAGCTTCTGCATTTCTCTATATAAAAGTTTCAATATTCACCATAGCAGAGCAGAAATACTGGTAATTCCCTCAGTCTCGAGATTTTGTTGGCAAATAAAAACCTCGCCCTTCAGGCTCGGTTTTTATTTGCCAACAAAATCTCTCGACTATCGGGGTATATTCTCCAACAATTCCTCCGACGCAGGAATAATTTCTTAAATAGACACTGATAAATATAACTGATTTTCTAGAATGACATTTATTTCCCTATACATTCAAAATGCTGAAAAAAACCTACCATGTATTGTAACGTATCTTCCAACAATTTATGACTTTTCAGTGTATATTCTGTGGTGGTATAAAGAACGTGAAAATCTGTCTGTTGGTATTAAAAATCATTTGTGTCTTATTTTCCAGCAAAATCAGAGAGGAGTTAGGCTTAAAACCCTTGCCATTTGAGAAAATCACAACGCCAAAACCTGTGCAGAAATCCAATGAGAAATCAAGGGTAAAGGTTATATATTGTAGATTGTTTATGTAGAGAGTGAAATACAAGTGCTTTTTTTTTTTTTTTTTAAAAACTTGTTTAAGCCTTAACTGTTTAAGGTAAGGGTTGTCCCAGAAAAATGCAAACTTTTGAAAATATTTTATAAATGACTTCATCAAAATTATTCGTTTTTTGCACATAGTTGGAAAATGATATTTTAGTCATTTTGACAGAATGTTATATGGAATAGTAATGTCATATGCATATGGAAACAGCTTTTAAAAGGTGTTAAATATCGGTGGTCGGCAGAACAGTTTTTCTGATTATTAAAAGTAACATTGCCAATGAAGTTTTTTTCTATAACCAGATTATACATGTATGGCAATTTAATATGATAAAATTTACATCCATAAAAATTATTACTGGTACTAGAGTACTAATGTAGGAAAATTCATTAGCTTGACATCGTAGATAAAAAGTATGTGATATAATATGCACAAACACTTTCCATTAGAAATTGTCAAAAATGGTGAGTTCAGACGATATGTGGTGCTGCCGGTGCACCTAATTATCATTCAGTGTTGTATTGAGTGGGGTAAGATTCCTGTCCATAAGGGAAAAGTAATGAAAATGATAGAAAGACACAAAAACATGACTTGGACACTGGTATACATACCTGGCAAAAGATGTTAAATGATAGCTGGACTGGTTATCAGATGGAAGAGGCGTTTGGTAGACCAACAAAAAGGACATCAAACTGAAGTCAGGAGATGGACGTTATACGTGGAGACTGCTGTTTAATTATGCAAGTAATTAGGTTTATGATCCTGGCTGATGTCTATTCAGAGAACCAATTCTTTTGAGGACTCTAGTATATAAGAGATGGATAACTTGGTAACTAAACAACAATCAAATGCAGTGTAGAATTTATGCTTCAACTGAATTTTTAAAGATGCACAATTGGTACACAAATTAACACTCACTACAAACCAGGTTTTGATTTAGTGTTGAGCTGACAGCAATTTTGGGAGACTCATTTAATTAGAGAAAATTGTTATTTATAGAGATATTTTATTCATATCTGTATGTAGCATTCCAAAAAATGTTGGTTATGGTGCATGCCAACTTTTAACTTTATAATACATGTATTAGTGAAACAATGTTCACATTCTTCTGGGACAATCTACTAGTTTTGTACAATTTTTCTAAATTGCGATAGACTTTGTATAGTAGAGATACTAGCTGAATTTGAACATTATTTGAACTTTCAGAATGCCCATGTTTTACAAGCTGTACTGATTTTAATATTATTAACTTTCAGAATGCCCATGTTTTACAAGCTGTGCTGATTTTAATACGGGAGTTAGACAGAGACAGTTTAGAGATTGTGAACAGTGCCACACAGAAAATGCTACACTCAGATATATAGCGCTCTATAAATTAGTCATGCTTTTACATTTTTTTTTCACAAAAACAATTTTATTAAGTTTTTGAATTATTTAAGCATTTATATTTAAAATCTTGCAATAAACAGAGGTTCCTAGACAGATGATGAAGGAAACTGGACCTTGCATAAACAAAATGAATGTGCGTAAAATGTGTATGTGTGGAGGAGACTTCTTATTTATTACCTTAAGTATATAAATAGATCACTTCTCAATGTGTGTCTTTGCAATATTTTGAATTTCGTGTGAATATTTTTGTTCGAGATATTTATATAGGAAAAATAAAAAAAAGATGTAAAAACCTTTCAGTAAATGTTTAAGGTATTACATGACTTGCCACAAAAAGTTTTATTAGTCTTCATGTTTAAAGGAGGGAAATGCATGAATGAAGAGTACTTGACATAAAATGACAGTCAACAGCTCGTTAGAGCTTGTGTTGTCTTTTAACTGCCATACTGATTTTAAATAAAGCTTAGCTTATCTTATGAAGCAAAGGAGTTCATTTATTTGCAATAATACGTCATTCACTCGAAATTTTGTTTATTTTGTCTTGTTTTTAAATTTTATCTAGATCACACCTGTATGTCTGTGAATTGAACCCACTGTAATTCTTAGTGATTTTCTGTTCAAGAAGTTCTGATTAATCACAGAAAAGTGAGGTTTTGCTCAAATATTTTAAAGTATTAGTGTTTTACATAGTGTAAACATTGTTTATTGAAATATTTTTTTCATCAAATCAATTCATCAATACTTAGCATTAAATATATATATATATATATATATATATATATATATATATATATATATTATATAAAATCCAAATTTAAATGAAAAACTCAAACTTTAATCCATAGCACTTTCGCCCCATGTGAGCTCATCAGTAGATTTGAGATTATGAACCTAAAGGTATATATTATACACCTATTTACTGGCTATGAGGACAATAGTAAGTTTATAGTCCCCCAAGACAGGAACTATTTCCCGAGGCACAGTCGAGGGAAATAGTTGCTGTCGAGGGGGACGGTAAACTTGCTTGTCCGAATATTCAGTAAATAGGTGTTTTATTATACCAAAGGCGGCTTTACTTTTGTTACATCACAAACCGGATACGTCACAATACCACAAACCAGATAGTTTTGAGATAAAAATAAGGGAAAAGGAATACTGCCGGTGAATAGTTTAATGACTATTTCACCATGGACACTATTCCACAGTAGGGGTTGTTTCGAAAAAATAGCAGGTTTATTTGTCATATTTTTATATAGAAAAAATTCACAGAGGTATAATAAATACTGATAAGCCCACATTGGACGAAAGCCCTATAGATTAAAGTTTGAGTTTTTCATTTAGATTTGTAATTTATTTTATACCAAGGACAAATATTTTATTGAATATATATATATATATATATATATATATATATATATATATATATATATATATATACACAATGTATATATATGGATTTGTATTGAACATGTAATCATGTAATCTTAAGTTCCGTCCATGTGTTGATTTTTTCTGTACTGTAGTATCAATGATTTATTTAATGCATTGCATCTTGTTTTATCAAATAATAAACACTGATAAACATATCTGATTTGGAACTTATTTTCCTATACATTCAAAATGCTTAAAAACAAGAAATTGATCATGATTGCACGAATTTGTGATTCAATCCTGAAAATTTAACTCGGATGCAACTTCAGTGATAAAGTTTCCTCTGAAAGATATCAAAAATCATACATCAAAATTTTTCATTGACCAGAACTGACTTCAACATTGAATTAAGATATACACAGAAGAACCTGTCTTGTTTCATTTTTTATTGTAAAAGATTAAAAAGCACTGAAATCATGATTGTTTTTCTAAACTGACGAATGTGCTGAAAATTTTCACTTGCATAAACGTTCGTTGGACGGAGAATTTTTTTTTTTTAAAAATTAATATTGTTGAATAATTTAGCAAACAATTTGATAATCACTTGCATTTTAAAAATAAAATTCTCGGTTTTCAGAGATTCTTTGAATTTTAATCTAGAATTACTAGTCAATTCTCCTTTTTTTAATGTGAACACAATGTTATACCTCTTCAATCTTGATCTAATTGCTAGAAATTTGGTATTGAGCTTTACTGATTTCACCGGTTTTTATTACTACATAGTTATCTCAATGTGAATAAGTCAAAAATTTTCTTTAAGGGAAAATTTAGTTCTAAAATAATATGTAGTCTAAGGAACGGCTGAAGGCTTATTCAAATTAGTTGAAAATAGTCAGCAAACATGGAAAAAATCTGTGTTGTGATATTTTGCATTCACCGAAGTCTTGCTAACCCTTAGCACATTCCACATCATGTAACAAAACACAAATAAGGAGGTGGGACCCATGACCATCTCCTTTTTCAATAATGCAACAGCAATTGTTAAAATTATCTATTACATCTACATTTATAGAAATGAATCAAAAAAATTTCACCTCATGGAGACATTTGTCTTCAAATCTAATCAGATTCAACAAAGGGATGAATAGAATATATGCTTTTCAAGTTTTTTTTATGTTCTAAGTTGTATTTGTCTACTTTGGTCTGAAAACACTCGAAAGCAATTTGGAACACGTTTGCAGAACAAAGACAGAGAAAATGTCCATTAGGAATGGCAAATAAATGCATCGGATGGCAATAACAGCTTTGGGCGCGAATCACCTTATGCTACCTGATTCAGCATATGTGAATCAGGTATGACTCATGTGTATGAATCAGGTTCTTCTATATCCTGAAGGTCTGACGACTTACGAGGGTTTGCTGAAAACAAACACCTATTGTGAACCGAATCTAAAAAAAATTCCTTTCGACGAACATGAATGTTTTATTCAATTTGTGGCAACGTCAACATTTATTACAAGCATTCCTCAAAAGCCGCACGTTTTTCATGAGAATGCAAAATGGATATATTTCCAGATAGAACCATGTGTTCTTAATATCGCTTCCAGTGGCTATGAACTTGAAAACAACCTAAGCCGTGGAGTTCTTGTCTTTCCTTTAAAGGTTGTTCAAAGGCCCTCCTATCTTTTTGTACATATTACTCTTCCGCCTCTTGTTCTCAATGTTTTAAAACATAATTGTTTACTTTATCCCAGTAGTCCCAGAAGCAAAATTGTCTTTTTGCATTGCACTTCTGCTATCGTTTACAGTTATATCTTTTATGTCGCTTGTACTCATTCCAGAAACTTCAAACCCAGTCCATCTGATTATATAGTTTTTGGTCTCTGAATTTCTGCCAAGTGCATTTATAACGCGTTCCAGCTTTTTGACGTCTACACTTTACCAGCGGCAAGGAACAAAAACAATACCTCATGTGTTAACAGAAATTTTTATAAGATTTCACAAAAAGGTGTTGAAAATTGAGAATGACGATGAAGTAAATAATCTACCTTAAGAACATATAATGGAAGAAAAGACTGAAGAACACATTAACCCATATGATGAAACATTCAAGAGATGAAATGTTGTTTCAACTCAAATAACCTGGAAAAGCATCGCCATGCTAGCGGAAAGACTGCGTTTGACCGTAACTTGTAGCATCATTCTGCTTGAAGTCATACTGTTTGCTTACCTCGCATCTCGCTTGTCTGTTGAACCCCATCCTGTAGCAGATTGACTGAATTCTGCTTTGATGACTTATCAGGATTTTGTGTTGATCCCACTAAACTTGGTTTTCAACAAAGATCTTCACCAAAGGAGATCCTGTCGACCTTCAACAAAGGCGGAATATAAGGAGGTGTATCTTCTTCCAAGATATCTCGAGTCAATGATGTGACGGATCTGACGTAGCCATGAGGTATAAAATCAGTTAATCATCTCGAGACTTTTTTTTCTGTGTTTCTAGAATAACCTTCTTTGTGGACTCTATGAACGAATTTCTTTTCCTGGTATGCCTTGAATTGTGTTCTTAGCTTCGTATCGGAAGTCTGAAAAGGACTAGAGAGTTCCCAATATATTCTTAATTACAATTAGCAGGAGATATGAAGAGGTTAGAGAACTTGTATCAGATGGATAGCTAGCTTTAACTGTAATGTAGCAGAATCCTAGCTACTAGATCAGCGGTTAGTGTGGTTGGTTGTACTCCACTTGCTCTGTACTCTAGAATAATACACATCACTATTTCGTGTTAATTTTTAAGAATAAATACTGTTCAAAAAGTTTTTTTTACTAATGTAAAGAAATAATGCTTGATTATGGTTGTTCTTGAGGAGAGGGTCTGCTGGTTATATAAAGTACAAGAAAGCATTTCAAAAATCTTAAAGAAAGTAAATTTATCTATTATATATAAACATGTATATATATATATATATATATATATATATATATATATATATATATATATATATATATATATATATATATATATATATATATATATATATATATATAATTAATATCGGTTTGCCACTGTCTACAGGTTTTTTGAAAAAAAAAATCTAGTTGTTATTGCTGAGGCCCATAGGCGGTTACAGAAAACATAAAGATACACAGCCCTGTAATTGATCACTTTCGTAATGAACTTGGAGTTTCATGTTCAGTCATAATTTTCATTATCTTATGTTCAGAATGCTTCCCTATCAAAAATCAATTATGGCCTACATGTATGAAAAATCAATTACATTTGTAAATATGACTACTCCACAAAGATTTGATTTTTGATATATATTAAAGTGAACATTAAAGCTTTTAGTTTCCACCTTGTCTCAAGAGTTTCTACAAAGACAACTGTCACGATTATCATTATCGACATTATTCTTCTGGGAAATTTGTCATAAATATTTTCAGTATTCATTTGCAGATCTGAGTTTATATAAGCAATGAACTGTATTCAGTTAGATAGGGAAATATGGTATGGCATATTTGATTTACGACAGTTTGCTGTGATACATGCGTAAAGTGTAACTTTTGATGAACACGAGGAATGTGAATAATTGGCATGATGGAACTAGATTACATGAAATTAGTTTTCTTTCTAATAATGGTGAGAATAATATACTCAAGGGAGAGTTACTCTGGTGAAAAATTTAACTTTAAACAAGATGAAAAATTGGAACTATTGAACGTTTCTTCTTTTCTTCGAAATATGCTCTTCAACGGGAACTCAGGCTACAAAGATTCAGACGACCCCATCACGCGAGCTGGAATGCGGTTTGAAATTTCAAGATTAGAAAAGTTTGATGAAATTGCAGGAGAACTTAAGCTTCTTTCCTCTCTTTTTATGTTTTGGTATGACGTCAGATTGACCTGGGAGCCTAATAGATTCTCCGTTTTTCAGGAAAAGGCCGGATATCCTTTAAAAATCGATTACTTACAAATGAAAATGAAAGATATCTGGAAACCAGACATAAAATTATTAAATCCCCTAAAGGAAATGGATATATTCAAAGAAAAAGAAAATGAAAAGGTAACCCTTGGCTTCCCTGGTTTGTTGTTCTACGATGGCTTACTGAAAACAGACACTTACTGTAAACCAAACCTCAAGGATTTTCCTTTTGACGAACACGAATGTTCTGTTCAATTTGTTGCAACTTCTACAGTGATTGCAAACCTAAACAATAAACCACAAGTCTTTAATGACAATGCAAAATGGATATATTTCCAAATGACATCTTGTGATCTTGATCTTTCTCCTAGCCGTTATGGAGCAGAACTTAACAATGAGCGTCGCGTTCTCGTTTTTCCAATTAGACTTATTCGGAGACCCTCCTATCTTTTTGTGAATATTGCCGTCCCACTTTTTGTTCTCAGTCTTTTAAATATAGTTGTTTACTTTATCCCAGCAGTCCCAGACGAGAGATTGTCTTTTTGTATTGCACTTCTACTATCCTTTACAGTGTATCTTATTTATGTAGCTGGACTTATTCCGGAAACCTCAAACCCAGTTCCTCTTGTTATCTACTTTCTGGTGTTTCAGTTCCTGTTTATTGCGTTTATAACATGTTCCAGTTTTCTGACTGCGTTGCTCAACCAGCGACAAGAAGAAAAACCAATACCAAATGCATTCCTACGAATCGTCAATGTGATACATAAAACACGTGCTCGAAAAGTTGAAAGGCAGCTGGGAGACACGAATCCACCGAACGAAAATATGATGATAAAGACTGGAGACCAACAGATCGTTAACGACGAAGAACTCAAAAGCACTGGTGTTAATCCATCAAAGATAACCTGGAAATGTATTGCCTTGCTTTTGGACAAAATATGTTTGACTGTAACTGTGATCATTCTTGTGATAGAAGTCGTGCTGTTCTCATTTCTGGCTTCGAAATTATCTGCAGAGGTACATCCTGATTTTGAATCTGAAATATGCCAAGGAAGTCCAATGAATTTGACAAAAATCTGTTTTGATGACGTATCTGATTTTTGTGTTGACGCTACTGATATAGCATGAATTGTTCTGTTGAAGATTTTCAGACATGCACACTGCAAAATCAAATATTTTATACTGATAAAACTGAACCAATACTAAATGTATTCAATAAGATATATAGAACACATGTTTAAACGTTGAGAGGCAGCTGGTGGACACGAATCTACAAAACGAAAGCAAAACGAGTGGAGACCAACAGATCAAAAACGATGTGAAACTTTAAAGCAGTGGTGTCTTTTCCACAAAGATATAACCTGGAAATGTACATGTATTGCGTTATTGTGGACATCATTATAGTGAGAGAAGTCGTGCTATTCTCTTGTCTGGCTTTTAGATTATCTGCAGAGGTACATCCTGATTTTGAATTGGAAATATGTCGATGAAGTCCAATGAATGGTTACGGAAATCTGTTTGATGACAAACCATATAAGCAGAATTTTAGACGAGGATTAAATTTTTACATTAATAGCGAGAGATTTGAGATGGCTAAAATTGAATATCGCTAAAAATATATTCTGTATCGGTTGTCATAATTATCTATCTGACATTATAAAACCGCTAATTACTTCTTGCTAGAAATATATACCAATTTGGGGGGGGGGGGGATAAATCGCTAAATTTGCGTCTCGCTAACAATTCCACTCATACGGTATCTGAATACCGGGTAATTGTATTAACCCTACTAAAATAAGTGAATGAAATTGTGCGTGTTCTACCAGGTACTAGTATACATTTATTGACTGGGTTCGAGGGCATTATTGTCGGACCCAAGAACCAAACAGTTTGTTTCGAAGAGTCAAGAAAACGCATTTTGCCCAAGAACACAGTCAATAAATATTTTGTTATACCTTTTACTTTATATTTTTGCGATAATTTTTAATATAGCTGATACCACCTACAATGTGACGTAAAAAAGTAATAGCGGTCCAATATCTCATCGACAGAACTAATATCTCACCCAGCGGTCCAACATCGATTCTTTTTGGACCGCTCAGTAAAACATTAAAAATGTTAGAATTTATATAGAAAACACATTTTGAAGCATAACAATAATGAATATTTAAAAAGACTCCGTGTCCTGGTACAAAGTTTTTGTCTGAAAATGGTTTAAATTATGAAAGTTTATATAAATTATTAATAGAAGTTTGTTAATGTTTAGGCATAAGACCTGTTAAGACTTTACCACATGGAGACGTGTAATACTAGTAGTGAATGTCATTTAGTTTCTTCTTAGACAGGGCTTTGTTGTTGTTGCTTTTTTAAGGGCTTTGTTTGTTTGTTTCTATTTTTTTTATTTTTGCAATTGATTTAGAATTTAACACTCAGGAGTCCATGCTTTGAGGGCGAATATTAGAGAAAATGTCTTGAAGGGCGAAATATTCAAATAAACAAAGCTAAATAATTAAAAATAAATAAAGAAAGAAAGAAAGGAAGAAGAAAAAAATCAAATGTGTTTTGTGCTACATATTAGTTGAATTTATTATAACAGTTTTTTTTTTCTTTTTCTAAAAATCAATCAATCATCAATCATTAAAAATCAATCATACCAGGCGACAAAACACTAGATTTGCAGGGCCATTTTATGCAGAAAGTGAACTTCGCTTTTTGCAGCGTCTAGTGACGTGGAATCACAAATTGAAAATTTAAGATTCCGTCACAAAAGTGACGATTTTTTAAAATCAGAGTGGTAATATCATTAATTTGTATTCCTTTGCAGAAAAACACAATCAAAATTTCTTCTTATGGGGATTTTAATATTTTCAGAGAGAGAGAGAGAGAGGGAGAATTAAAATCGGTTTGCCACTGTAGGCTTATTTGTTTTATGTAAAAAAAGAATCAAGTTGTAATTACTGAGGCACATAAGTGCTCGGTTATAGATAACATCAAGATACACACTTCTGTAATTGATTCACTGTCATAAAGAACTTGGAGAAATTATACATACATGTATATTTCATACACAGAGACAATCTTCGTGAGAAATTCTAGCAGCAAAAATAATTCTAACCTTGACATTCTCTCTATTATAATGATTGGTTCTCTTTCTCAGATTGATATTGTAATGAGAATAATCAGAATATACTTTTAATTGATTATTCCCTTAGTTTTCATAACAGAGTATTTAGGATTTCAATTATTTATAGATCCTTATACTACATATTTTATTTAGTAAACAATACCCAATTGTGATCTCCTTTCAATGCTGCCATAAGGCAGATAAATGTGAAAAGCTTTCGGATTTCTACTTATAAATCTCAATTATTATTTTTAATTCTAATTTTGATCATTATTGCTCGTAAATACATATATGATAAAACGTTCAATCTAATTTTCAATGTCATACGCCACTGTTCAGAATGTTTTCTCTATTTGACATTAAGACATGTGAGCAATCAATTACATTTGTAAATATAACTACTCCACTTAGATTTGATTTCAATTATTGTAGTGAACATTAGACATTAGAGCTTTGAGTGTCCACTTTGCCCTCGGAGTTTCTACAGAGACAAATGTCACAATTATCATTATCGAAATTATCCTTTTGGGGATGTTATCATTAATATTTTAAACATTCATTTGGAGGCTTGAGTTTAAAAACAATATAATGTAGTCTGTTAGATAGGGGAAAAAATTGGTGAAACATATTTGTTTAACGGCAGTCAGCTGTGATACGTGCGTAACATGTGTAACCATTGATGAACAAGACCAAGAAGAATGTAAATAACTGGTATGATGGGAGAACGTAGCATCAAAATAGTTTTCTCTCTGATAATGGTGACAATAATATACTCAGGAGAGAGTTACCTTCGTGAAAAATTTAATTTCAATCAAGATGAAAAACTGGAACTTTTGAATATTTCTTCTTTCCTTCGAAATATACTCTTGAACGAAAACTCGGGCTACAAAGAAGCAGACGACCCCATCACGCGAGCTGGATTGCGGTTTGAAATTTCAAGATTAGAAAAGTTTGATGAAATTGCAGGAGAACTTAAACTTCTTTCCTCTCTTTTTATGTTTTGGTCTGACGTCAGATTAGCCTGGGATCCGGATAGATTCTCTGTTTTTCAGGAAAAGGCCGGATATCCTTTAAAAATCGATTACTTACAAATGAAATTGAAAGATATTTGGAAACCAGACATAAAATTATTTAACCCTCTGAAGGAAATGGATATATTCAAAGAAAAAGAAAGTGAAAAGGTAATCCTTGGCTTCCCTGGTGTGTTGTTCTACGATGGCTTATTGAAAACAGGCACCTACTGTAAACCAAACCTGAAGGATTTTCCTTTTGACGAACACGAATGTTCCGTTCAATTTGTTGCAACTTCTACAGTGATTGCAAACCTAAACAATAAACCACAAGTCTTTAATGACAATGCAAAATGGATATATTTCCAAATGACACCTTGTGATCTTGATCTTTCTCCTAGCCGTTATGGAGTAGAACTTAACAATGAGCGTCGCGTTCTCGTTTTTCCAATTAGACTTATTCGGAGACCCTCCTATCTTTTTGTGAATATTGCCGTCCCACTTTTTGTTCTCAGTCTTTTGAATATGGTCGTTTACTTTATCCCAGCAGTCCCAGACGAGAAATTGTCTTTTTGTATTGCACTTCTACTATCCTTTACAGTGTATCTTATTTATATAGCTGGACTTATTCCGGAAACCCCAAACCCAGTTCCTCTTGTTATCTACTTTCTGGTGTTTCAGTTCCTGTTTAGTGCGTTTATAACATGTTCCAGTTTTCTGACTGCGTTGCTCAACCAGCGACAAGAAGAAAAACCAATACCAAATGCATTCCTACGAATCGTCAATATGATACATAAAACATGTGCTCGAAAAGTTGAAGGGCAGCTGGGAGACACGAATCCACCGAACGAAAATATAATATGGAGACCAACAGATCATTAACGACGAAGAACTCAAAAGCACTGGTGTTAATCCATCAAAGATAACCTGGAAATGTATTGCCTTGCTTTTGGACAAAATATGCTTGACTGTAACTGTGATCATTATAGTGATAGAAGTCGTGCTGTTCTCATTTCTGGCTTCGAAATTATCTGCAGAGGAACATCCTGATTTTGAATCTGAAATATGCCAAGGAAGTCCAATGAATCTGACAAAAATCTGTTTTGATGACGTATCTGATTATTGTGTTGACCTTACTGATATAGCATGAAATGTTCTGTTGATGATTTCAGACATGCACACTGCAAAATTAAATTTTTGAAACTGCTATAGATCCAGGTATCTCTTTAAAAGTTTTTAAATTTCATATTTCAGTGTCTGTTAAATGCATTTATCACATGCTCCAGTTTTTTTGACTGCGTTGCTTAACTAACGACATGATCCAATACAAAATGTATTCCAGTAAGATATATAGAACACGTACGCGTGCTTGAAAGTTGAGGGGCAGCTGGGGGACACGAATCTATAAAACGAAAACAAAACGAGTGGAGACCAACAGATCATAAACGATGCGAAACTCAAAAGTAGTGGTGTCTTTTCCACAAAAACCTGGAAAAGTACATGTATTGCGTCATTGTGGACATCATTATAGTGGTAGAAGTCGTAAAACATGTGTATTCTCATGTTTGGCTTTTAAATTATCTGCAGAGGTACATCCTGATTTAGAATCTGAAATATGCAGAGGAAACCCAATGAATTTGACGGAAATTTGTTTGATGACATATTCGAATACCGGATAATTGTATTGACCCTACTAAAATAAGTGCATGAAATTGCGCATGTTCTACCAGGTATACTCGTCGCAGTAATCGGAACTCAATCTTTAAAAAAAAAATCTTGCAGTACATAGCAAAAACAGTTAAAAATTTATGTGAATGACGAAAAAGACTACAATATGCAAGTCAACAAGGAACACGTAGCAGTAGCTGAGGCAGGTCAAGACAGAACTTAGTAGCATATGGATCATGGAATTTGAAAATAATGATTGGTCTATGTAAACGACAATTATAAATTTTGCTGGATGACCTCCTTTTGTAAAATTGGATTTTAAGAAG